TCTTGTTGTTGGCTCAACAGTGCGGTGTACATCTGCTTCTGCTGACTCAACATCTCTGTTACTTGCGCTGCTGAAATATAATCCTCTTCTGCTTCAACATCCTCATTCGCTTCTGATTTATTAGCTCTTTTCCCTCTTGGAGGCATTTTAATAGTTGTAGAATTTGTTCAAAGACTTGAAAATGTAGAAGATGTGAAAAATCGTGGAACAGACAAGAGGAGCAGTAAATACGTCTGCTCTCGCTTGCAACCCGGAACTACAACTATGACTTGTGAACTCACCCGGAGGACCCTGTGCTCTTGCAAACCCCCAGCAGAGGCCTCTTGTCAGCAAAACTGTCTATCTTCAGAGAACCTGAGGAGGAAGAGGAGTCAAAAGAAGAAGCAGACAAGAAACAGAATGATCAGCAGACAACAAAGAGGGACATTCTTTAAACAAACATGGGGCCACTAGTGCTACACACCCTCATTCAACAGGCAGCCTATTACCATGACAGGAAACTTTCTGATTACATTACTACTGTTGCCCTGTAATTACGTTATGTTGAAAAACATTTGTGATGGAGATTTTTTTTTCTCCCAAATCAGGCCTTACTTTGCAAGTTAGTGGACCAAGATCCCCACAATCCATGACTTTGGTGTTCTACCTTTTTCTGATGATCTACCAGGAGAAACAATTTAAAAAATAAATGGTGGAAATAAAATAAACTGAAAAAATATAAATGTTGCAAAAACAAGTATTATTTCCTATCTCCTTGTTGCTTAGGATAAAGATGTTACCCTTTAGAGGACTGTAATTTGAGGTTTGACAGTAATCAGTCTGAGCTCCAGTGGTATAGTCTGAGAGCACCATGCTGTCCTTTAACACTGGCAATGAGGTCCATTAACTTTCATGTTTTTGCCAGACATTATTCCCACTAAAGATACTGAGCTGTTACCTAAATATGACTTTTGGACTTTGTGAAATTGCACATCTAACAAAATTATCTTTCTGAGGAAAAATTCAACATTAGATGAACAGACACTTTGGATTTGACTACTACTGTAATGGTCACTAAGTGAAGCATGGACCTTTATATGTTTGAACATAACAGTGATGATGGGTGTATGTTTAGGTAATACTAAACATGGTTTGTAACATTAGACAACATGCTTTCTGTTAAAATTTATGAAAGTACTTTTACAATGCGAGAGCATCCAAGTATAGCTTATTGTAAAGACCTACAAGCTGACAACCGCAAAAATGACCAACCATATTATTATAACTGTTCACATTTTCTCAGTGCTCATTTGATATCAATTACGGAAACAGTGTTGCCTCATTTTGCATGACCATGGATGATTACAAACTGTACACTATGAGAGAGGATGTGGATAAATGCATTTACTCCCTTTGGAAAAGCATCAATTCCTTCTCTGTTCTAGCCCTATTATAGTCAACACCTATTTTTAGATCTTTCTAAGTCCAACCACCCACAGCCTTACATCCCAGACAACTGGCCTTTTAACAGCTCACCACAGTGCAACACTGTTTGCACCCTAGAAGACTGCAATCAGTGTCCTTCCCTCCAGTAGTACAATTCATATTTATTTTCTTCTGAGAGAATTGCTCCCCTCATGTGTTGGGGCTATCTGCTGCTTCTTATTACTGCAGTTTGCTTTCATCCACTTCCAGTGCTCTTCAAATGCTGCCATTGTGTGTTGTTGAAATCTGCCAAAAGACTGGAACATGAATGAAAAAAAAAGCTATTTTCTCACCAAAAAATGCCACAAAAAGGAAGGGCTATATGGCAGCTTTAAACACACTAAATGACACCTGCAAAGATGAAATATAAACTTCATGTCTAGAAAGGATCTAATCAGTGGAACAACTAAATCATTTGCACTATGGCTTAAGAATATGAACTTTGGACCTTTCCAGGGTCTGAAAATGACAGTGGAACCAGTGAAACAGTTGTCATTGTACTCATTTCACTCTTTGGGAAGACATTTATAAATTAAACTACATTTTTTTATTGTTGATACACAAGTTATTATGATAGTAAAGTGATTAAATACTAAAATGATTAGTCAGAGATTTTATCTACATCTAACTATAAATATATCACTAGCTATATCAAACTTCACAACACAGTGTGCATTCTTTCATTAAAAAGAGTATGATTCCACTTCTTTCAATAAACTTGAAATTTTAATAATGTTCTGTTTACAGAACATTTGGTTGGGATTATGAGAAATAATGTCAAATAATGTGAAACCTCAAACTGGGACAAGACTATCTGGTGAATAGATAAAGCAGGGCTACTTTATTATGCCTCCTCACCGGTGATAGCCATGGCCGGAGGCATTATGTTTGTGGGTTGTCCGTCAGTATGTCCATACATCCGTCTGTCCCATTTTTGTGAATGCAATACACAGAGGTGGTGATTCCAAGGACACAAGACCAACAGGGACACACAAAATTTCATCTTGATTAAACTACTATAGTAATTGTTAAATTCTAACTGTTTTAAAACCCATGTGTGGTGCTCAGGTCTGAGAGACCTGTTTTCACTTTTTATCAAAAGAAAAAAGATACGAGTAACTATTTTTTTTCAAGCTCAGATTGTGAAGAACATATAGCAGAACACATTTTCAATGACCACACACTGCATCCCCCCCACACACATTTACATTGCACACAGGGTGTTTGGGTCCACTGGACCCAGGGATAATAAAGGTGTGGTTGCAATCATTTGCTCTTACATTCCACTGTCTCCACAGCTTAGCATTTGTATTGTGCCCAGAACAGTCTTGAATAGTTCAACAATTTACATCTGAATGCTCTGACATGCCAACCCTTGCACACTGGGGGCAGAAAATTGAAAGTCTGCCAGTGATGTAGAACAATCGGATGAGATTTAGCATAAGATCCTCTGCCCCTCATTTGTTTGGGATGAAGCACACATCTGTTGAGTAGTTTAGCATAAAAGTGTTTGATTTTTACAGGTATTGCACCTGTAAATACACCTTGTACATACAGATCTGCCAATGCATAAGCCAGTTCCAAAACAATGGCAGAGAGACAAGCTAGCTGCCATCAGGACAGTGTGGGACAAGTGGGTGCACCGCCTCCCCTTGCTTTACAACCCTGTGGCTAATGTCACCATTGATGAGCAGCTGATGCAATTTAGGGGCCACTGCCCCTTTAGGCAGTAATTGCCATCCAAAGCAGCTAAATACAGCATAAAGATCTGGGCTGCCTGTGATGCCACTACCTCATATGCTTGGAACTTGCAAGTCTACACAAGGAAACCTGATGGAGGAGCCCCTGAGAGAAATCAAGCAATGAGAGTCGTCCTGGAACTGATTCAGCAACTTTGTGGACAACATCACATGTGACAATTTTGTTGCCTTGTACAAGCTGGGACAGGAGCTCCTAAAGAAGCTGACCATGGTGGGAACAATTCAGAAAAACAAGGCTGAGGTCCACCCCAACTGTTGGTTATAAAGAACAGGCCTGTCAACTCTTCAAAGTTTTTGTACACCACTGACACAGCCCTGGTGTCCTATGTGCCAAAGAAAGGCAAGAATGTTCTTCTGATGAGTACACTGCACAGGGATGGGAAAATCATCATGGACTACAATGCCACAAAAGGAGGGGTGGACAACATGGACAGGCTGGTGACTGTGTACAGCTGCAAAAGGAGGACGCTACACTGGCCACTGATGATTTTCTTTGACATGCTGGGCATCTCAGCATACAACACGTTTGTCATCTGGATGGCACTGAACTCAGAGTGGAACAGAAGGAAGCTCCAGAGGAGACATGTCTTTATGGAGGATCTGGGAAAGGCACTGGTGAGACCTCAAATCCTTAGTAGAGAACATATTCCAAGAACCCCATCCTCTGCATCAATCATGATGAGGATTCAGGAGGAAGATGCTGGTGCCCCATCCACCAGACCTACAGAACAACAATCTGCAGAGCCTGAGATGCAGTTGCAGTATATGTCTGACACTCATGCTTTGCAAGAGAGAGAGAGGTGCTAAGTATAATTTCTTATCTTTTCATTATTCTAGGTTGTGACCAGCACCAGCCAGAAGAAGTGCTGCAGAATGTGTGGACCCAAGACAGACAAAAAAACACAATATACATGCATCAAGTGCAAGACAAGCCCCCTTGCACAGGTGTTTGGGTGATATTAAAGAGTGGCTCGCACAGAACTTCCTTCATTTGAATGAGGGGAAGACTGAATATATCGCTTTTAGCCCAGACCCCACCCACACTGTATCTGGCCTAGGAGCTTCAGCCCCGTTATTCACTCAAACTGTGAAAAACCTGGGAGTGTTATTTGATAGCAGCCTCAAATTTGACAAGCAAATTAGTTCGGTGGTCAAAACAAGCTTCTTTCAGCTGAGGCTCCTAGCAAAGGTGAAACCGTTTTTATCTCGAGCTGACCTGTAACACAGAAATTTCACCTACTCTACTCTAGAAAAAGCCATTCACGCCTTCATTAGCTCACGTCTTAACTACTGCAATGACCTCTATATTAGAATTAGTCAGTCTCAACTCCATAGACTCCAACTCGTACAGAATGCGGCTGCTCGCTTATTGTCAAACACTCCAAAGAATGCTCACATCTTCCAGTTCTTCAGTCCCTTCACTGGCTTCCGGTACAATTCAGAATAGACTTCAAAATTTTACTGTTTGTATTCAAGGCCATTAATGGCCTTGCGCCAGTCTATTTGACCAATCTTTTAACCATTTATACCCCGGTTAGAGCGCTGCGTTCCTCTGAGCATGTGTCCCTGGTTGTCCCACAGGCAAGATATAAAAAGTGGGGAGATCATTCTTTCGCCGTGTATGCCCCCAAGCTCTGGAATGCCCTGCCCCCTGAGGTTTGATCTATAACGGAGCTAATGGTTTTTAAGTCTAAATTAAAGGCACATTTATTCAGATGGGCTTTTGGCATCTAATATTTAGCAGCAATGCTATACGGGGCCTACAGGCCATCCTGATTTTATATTTCGTAATCTTACTCTCTCTGTATTTGGACTCATTTTTATTTTACAGGAATTTTATAGTTCTTATAGAGCATTGTTTTAAATTTGTGCAATGTTAACTTTTCTTTTGTTTATGTATTTTTGGCATGCTCTGTTTTATCTCTGTTCGATTTATTGTGAAGCACTTTGAGCTCCTTTCGGTGTTGTAAAGTGTGTAGATGACAGTGGTGGGACTTGTACTTAAAGTCAAACATGTAGAGGGTGAACAGAAAGGGGGAAAGTACTGTCCCCTGGGGTGCCCCCGTGCTGCAGACCGCCACGTCCAACACGCAGCCTGACAAACTGAGGTCTGTTTGTGAGGTAGTTAAT